GGGCCTTTGCAGGGTACGTACTGGGCCTTTGCATGTTACGTACTGGGAATTTGCAGGGTACGTACTGGGACTTTGTAGGGTACCTACTGGGCCTTTGCAGGGTATATAATGGGCCTTTGCAGGGTACGTACCGGTCTGCACTGTAATTTCCAGGTGTTCACAAATAGAAACCAACTGAAACGTGTTCGAACATGTTTAAATAAGAACGTTTGTGTTTGTTTGCTGTGCAGCGTCACCATCAGTTCCTGTGAACTGCAGGAACGTTGGCGCTGCAGAACCAAATCGATGCCGTTAAAGTGACAGAACAACGTTCACATCTGAGTCTTAACATGAATTATTGATCAGCAGAGCTCTGAAAATTAGCTTTAGTCTCCGTTCTGTGACTTTATTTGAGAAACTGTGAGTAGGTTATTTACAGTGGAGTTGGTCTCGGCTGTATTTCAGCACGACGTTGACGAAACTGTAAAGTGACTTAATGATTTCTGAACGGGAGGTTCTGCTCTGCGAATTGATTCCTGTGGCGCTGTGAGACAGCAGAACCCCAACACGATGAAAAATGGACCTGCTGAGTGGGTCAGAGGGAACATGGGAGCCTTTTATGGAGGGTTAACGGCAGCGGTGCGTTCTGGAGGCGCTGCGGTGACGGTTGCACGTGTGTGCACGTATCGATTTCTGAGCCGCGGTTAAACTGTTCTCCGATCAGCTGCACACGCACGAAAAGAGCAACCGAAGCTCTGAAACACACTGATTGGCCACAGAGGAAATGCTTTCAGCACAGAGGGATTGTGGGAAAAGAGAAAATTGATTTGGGGTTTTTATTGAAACGGCGGCTCACACACACACACATGCACACACACGTGCACACACACACACACAGAAAATCACAGCAATAAAAACAGAAAGTGAACCGGAGCTACTTTTGATGACTAAACTTTTTTCAGTCCCGCGTCTGAAAAACATTTTTCTTTATTGTGTTTTTGAAAGTATCACCTGCAGCCCGGAGTAATCGGATTACTCTGCCTGCCGTCAGTGCTGTCAGGGAGCGAGTGGTGGTTTGACAGAAACAGGCACCGGTGGGGCGACCAGCAACACGGAACAAAATACTAATTTGTGTTAAACACCCTGACCTTTCCTGCTGGACCCGCACAGCTCCGCTTCGAACGTTCACCTTTGTTGTTTTTACGGCTGAACCGCTCAGTTTCCACAACTCAGATCGTTTTTGGTGTTTCTCCTTTTTGAACAAACCGATTGGCTTAAAATTAATTTTTGGTGCACTTCTAAACAGATTGTTTCCTCTGCAGAAGGTTAAAAGGAAAAAAATAATAATTTTCTACAAAATGCTGCTGATTTACAACAATTGTTATTTCAAACTCTGAGAAACTGATTTTAGGTCCTGAACTTTATTTTTATTTTTATGTCATGCGTTAGTTTAGAGATGAGTCATTTGTTCTTTTGCATCATCTTATTTAAAAAAATAATTTTAATTCACGTAAAACATAATTTGATACTTGATTTACATATTTAAGCATAAAATGTATATTTGAATGTAAATATGTAACTCATGTATTTCTTTATTTTGTATTTCTGTTTATATATCAGATTGTTAGAGAAGTTATTAAAGCCTACAGATTTTTTTTATTAAATCCATCTAGTATTTATTTTTTTTTTTGGTTGATGTTTCTAGTGAAGTCTTAGATTTATTTAAATATGTTAATTACCTCCTGACATATCTGGATATTTTAGTCTTTGTTAAAATTCTGACATTAAGGTTTACTGGTAAATATTTGACAATAATAAATATTCCTGGTATAATAAACAGTAGTCCCTCGTTTATCTCGGGTGTTCCAACGCTAAACTTAATGTTACCATGCTAATGCTATGTTACAATTTAATTTATTTTATTTTTTTACCCTTTATATACAGGAAGTCTTATTGAGCTGCGATAACTCATTTTCAAGAGAGACTTGTTTGGGAGCAGATGGGGGTTAAGTGCCTTGCTCAGGGACCCAGAGTGGGGCAAATGAGGGTGGAGGCAGGTGTGGGTGTTTCAACTTTTCCACCCACATTTTGATGTTGTCTGTACCGGGAGTTGAACCTGCGACTTTCCGATCACAGGCCCATCTTCTTTAACCTGTGCGCCACCACTCCCCAAATGCTAATGCTAATGTTGCTACCTTGGTGTTTGTATTCCAACATTGGTGCTACTATGCTGCAGTAAATGTTGTATGCTAACGGTAAAGTTGCTATGGTGTTACCATTTCAGCAGTGTTTACCTTGCTAGCATTAGTGTTACTAACTATGCTAAAGTTATGTCGGTCTGCCAACGGTAATGTCGCTATATTAATGTTCACATTACTATGCTGATAATATGCCAACCTCAGGGTTACTATGGGAACAGTAGTTTTTACTACACTACCAGTCTTAATTATGTTATGCTAAGAATGACGTCATAAGGCTAGCATTGATGTAATTCTCTTAATCATTTTATTATGTTAGCATAATGCCTGAGTGCTAGTGTTAAAATGGCTATGCTAGCAGTGACATCACTATGCAAGTGCTAATGCAAATATCCAGTTTTATTTAAAATAAAAATGAATTTAAAATAAACATCTTCAAGCTCATTCTGGTTTTACTGGGTAAGGTTAATAAAGTTGATGTTTATCTGTAACCTTGTTGTTTTTGTGTTTTGTTTTCTTCAGGTTACTCAATCTGTCTCTAACCACGGACCTGGTTCCGGAGCAGGACGTGATCGACGTCATCATCCACGTGGGCCGAAACCCTCAGGGTCGAAACTTGGCCTGGAAATACTTCAGGGACAAGTGGGACGTCCTGAACGCTCGGTGAGACACCCAGACCGTCCACCTTCAGCTTTTGACTGTTTCAGGACCCAAGCGGTGGAACACGCTGTCTCTGTCTCTGTTCAGGTACGGCGAGGCTTTGTTCATGAACTCCAAACTCATCAGCGGGGTCACCGAGTTCCTCAACACCGAGAGAGAACTCAACGAGGTAAAAACACAGAAACACACGTATTACCGAGCTCCTGCGGGGATCGCTCCGGTCCGTTTACAGGTAGATGAAGCCGAGCGCTTCCATTTCTACTGCGATCGAACAAGAATTTAAAACATCAGCCTCTTTGTCTCCGATATGACCAATGATCTGCAACAGATGCTGAGGCTGAAGCCAGACGGACAGCTCTCGTTATGACTGGCATTTAATCAACTTTATTTCAATCCAAACTGACAGCTTCATCCACTTATCCATCTAAAGTTTAAACAGCTTCAATCATCTAAAGGCTGCCTGAAGGACCTTTTCCAGCCTGTAATATTCACACGTTGCTCATTTAGCACAGAAAATATTAATTACATATTTTTGGAATGACACAAACACATTTTTAATACTTAGTTTTTGGTTTATTCATGACTCGTTTAGTTTTCTTCAGTAAATCATCTGTGAGGTCGGCGGGTCAAATCTCATTCAAAAAGACAAAATATAAGCAACCAAATAAGAAGGACCAAAAATAAAAACATGAATAAATCTTGATAAACTGCCTCCTGTCCTCTCAGACACAAATGATTCAAACAAACCAATGTTGTCACTTTTAATCAGTTTATTAAAAGAAAAACTATTTTTATTAGCGGCAACTTTTATGTTTTATTGACAGTTCTTGTTTAGTTGTTGAGTCGTTTTATTTCATAAGTTTAGATGAGGATAGCTTCTTTAGAACAATGGTTCCCAACACTGGTCCTTGAGGAACTCCATGCTGCATGTTTGTGTTATTTCCCTGCTTTGACACACCTGCTTTAAATTAATGAATGAATTAATTAATGAATGGGTGATTAACAAGCTAGAGAACATGAGGAAGTAAATAAGTCACTGATTCAAGTGAGTTGGAGCAGAGAAACAATTAACATGCAGGATGGTGTTCCTCAAGGACCTGGGTTGGGAACCACTGCTTTAGATCTTTAATCTTTTTATCTTAAAGGCAACAATACAAATTTAAAGTCTGGAGATCCATGAGGTTGTTTATTCTGATGAGAAAGAAAAAGATAACGTTACATTTTCTATCTGTTCCATCATGTTACAGATCAGGTTTGTTCTCGCTGTTTCCAGCTTTAATTTGATTAAAGTGTAGATTTAGTAACTTTATACTTTTTATTACTTTAATTCAAACACAACATTGAGCTGCTGTGATCTGAATTCTATTTGTTTGTTTTGCCTTTTGTAATTGTTTGTTCAAACTTAACTAAAACTGGTGAGTGTTCACATCGAGGTGTACAAAAGTTTCCTTTTGAAAAGTGCCACGTCGAAATCCAAGATGGCTGCCACATATGTGAACCGACCACTTCTGTCATTTAAAGCAACTGTTTACTGCGCAAAATGTTAGTTTCTATGTCTTTAAGGGACTAATTCAGCTGGTTTGAAACTCAATTCCACTTCAACTAATGAAACTTTACTCAGCCATTTTATCAGCAGCACGATGGATCAGTGGTTAGCACTGTTGCCTCACAGCAAGAAGGTCCTGGGTTCAATCCCCGGTTGGACCTGTGTTCTCTGTGTGGAGTTTGCATGTTCTTGTGCTTGCGTGGAGTTTCTCCAGGTACTCCAGTTTCCTCCCACAGACCAAAAACGTTAGTCAAGCCAAGTCAACTTTATTTATAGAGCACATTTAAAACAGAACCTGTTATCAAAGTGCTTAACAACAACAACAACAATCAATGGGTAAATAAAAGAGAAAAATATATAAACATATATATACAATACACTAATAATAATAACTGAAGAATTAATAAAAAGCATTTAAAACATAGTCACATATTAAAAAACACTAGATCAATTTACACTGTGTGAAATGTCTGAGAGAACAGATGAGTTTTCAGCAGGGATTTGAAGTGAGGAAGGGAGGTGGCCTGCCTGATGCTGGGGGGCAGGTTGAAGGGAGGTGTCCTGCCTGATGTTGGGGGGCAGGTTGAAGGGAGGTGGTCTGCCTGATGTTGGGGGGCAGGTTGAAGGGAGGTGTCCTGCCTGATGTTGGGGGGCAGGTTGTTCCAGAGTTTGGGGCCCATGACTGAAAAAGCCCGATCTCCTCTGAGCTTCAGTCTTGTTTTTGGAACAGCCAAAAGCAGCTGATCAGATGATCTCAGGGCCCGAGGGGGAACGTAAGGTTCCAGAAGCTCAGAGAGGTGAAGGGGTGTGAGGCCATTTAGGCATTTGAAGGTCAACAGAAGAATTTTAAAGACTATCCTCGTACGAACAGGGAGCCAGTGAAGGGAGGACAGAACTGGAGTAATATGTTCAGACCTACGAGTTCCGGTTAAAAGCCGAGCAGCAGCATTCTGGACGAGCTGAAGATGTGAAATGGAGGCCTGGCTGATCCCAGCATAGAGTGCGTTGCAAAAGTCCAATCGGGTCGTGACAAAGGTGTGGACTAGTTTCTCAAGGTCGGGTCTGGACAACACTGGCTTGAGCTTAGCTACCTGTCTGAGTTGGAAGAAGCTTTTCTGCAGAACAGAGTTGATTTGTTTGTCAAACTTGAAGTCAGAGTCTAAAACCATCCCGAGATTTTTACCAGACTGCTTCAGTTATGGCTGAAGAGAGTCCAGGTTGACAGGATCAGTGGTGGCAGTTGAGCTAGGGCTAAAAACAATGACTTCAGTCTTCTCATTGTTAAAACTTAAGAAATCTGAAGCCATCCAGGCCTTAATGTCGTCCAGACATTTTAACAGCGGGTGAATGGAGCAAACACTTGCTGGTTTCACAGGCAGGTAGATCTGACAGTCATCAGCATAGCAATGGAACGAAAGGCCATGTTTCCTCAGGATGGACCCCAGTGGGAGCAAATAAAGTGAGAACAGAAGGGGTCCAAGAATCGAACCCTGTGGGACCCCACAAGAAAGAGGTAATGAGACGGATATATTATTACCAACCTTGACACAGAAACTCCTGCCACTCGGGTATGAGCGGAACCATTCTAAGGTTCGGCTGATTCAGGCCCAGGCCTCACTTGCAAAAGAGATCTGTGATCTCAGTGGGGTCGTCTGGTTAAATAAAGGTTAAATAAAGGTTAATAATAAAATAATCAGGAACCATCAAGACCGGGACGTCAATTCAGCCCGTTTTTAAATGGAAATAGATGAAACTTGTACAGCACTCCATTATATCTTTACAAAGACTAATCAGAGCTTTATCACACTCGTTCACCGATGAGACACACTTCGGAGACAATGACGGGTTTGGTGTCTTGCCCAGGGACACTTCATCATGTGACTGCTGGTGGAGTCAAACCCCCAACTCAGCCACAGCCGCCCCTTTTTGCCACCGTCACAGTCACGGTGGTTGATTGTGCTGAATAAGTCGATGTGGACTGATGGTTGTGAATTTCACTTTGCTTCTATGAGGATCAGGATGGAGGAACGAGGCTTCACTGAGTGAAAATCAGAGCTCGCATCAAAGCAGGAGAGTTAAAGGTGTCTCTGGGTGAAACTCTGTCCCTTTATGTTCTTTGAGCTTCTGTTGGTTTGTCTGCCTGAAAGCCTCGTTATTTCCCAGCGGACGCCTGAACACAAAAACTGCAACAAAGAAGATTGACACGGTTTTTATTTCACAACAAACGTTTCCGGTGACTCCCGTAAAGGAGGACGGAGGAGAGAAGAGTAAAGGAATAGAAAGTGAAGCCGTGGAGAAAAAGAAACGAGTTTGGACCGAACAACAGAAACTGAAGGGATGCTCCACTGAACCCGTCAAACTACAAACACCGACTTCTCTCTGACGTCTAAAAGTTTAAATTAATTCTCTGCTCCTCGCCTCAAACACAAACTATTTTTTTATTCAAAAGACTCTCGTTTAAAACATTTAGTTTTGGTATTTTCGTTTTTATTCTAAAGTTCTTGCATCGCTGGTTCTGATTACAAAGTTTTGAATTAATAATTTATAAAACTTAAATACGACCTTTTCGTGCTGGACTGTTGTTTTCTGAAGGAAACAGACGCTGTCGTGTTCCACCGAGAGTTTTAAGGTCAAAGGAACTGAACGCACGTTCTCTTTAATGAGTTCACCTAAATAATTGTTTTGTTATCCTCCATCACTTCAACACTTGCGATAATTGTTTTTATAACTTATCAGCGCTCACAGGCAGACACCGATGACCTCGACCACCCAGCTGCACATGCAGGATCATTCAGCTCTCTGAGAGAGAACTCTGTTAACTCAAACACATGGTTCATGGGCAGCCATTGGAGTTAAAAAACATCCATAAACCTTGACCAAAAATCCCCTGACAGTTTTATAATGAAAATATTCTAAACATTAAAAAATGTAGATGGGAACAGGATCGACCAACACGTTTTTAACCAAACCGAACCCCTGATGGGTGCGTGTGATTCTAAAATCACTGTAAAAGCTTCATCTTTACTGTAAAGTTTTTGTTTATTCAACTTGTATTTATTTAAGTTTGTAACTTTACTAAATAGTTTTCTCAGACATTGGTCAATTTATTTCTCTAGCACATCAAAACAACAAAAGCTGACGAAAGTTCTTTACAATTAAGGCAAATTAAAATTAAAGCAATAAGAACAAAAAGCAAGTATTTGTGAAAAAGTCTTTTAAAAATTGATTCACAACCCTGAAGGTCGAAGGTTCTGCTTGTTCACATATTTCTGTTTGATTTCCTCCATCCACTCCCTCCATCAAACCCCCGCTTGTATTCATCCAGTTGAAGGAGTTTATCGAGTCCGGCGCCGTCGGGGCGGGGCCTGCGCTGCCGCGAGCGCTGGAGATCGTCGAGGGCAACGTGCGCTGGCACCGTCTGCACCGTCGGCCGTTCTTCCAGTGGCTACGCAAACCTCCGAGCGCCACCTTCGGCTAACGCTCTGCCTCTTCGCCGGGGTGAAGCGACTGCTAACTGGCTGCTAAGCTAACGCACTACTAGCTAACGGAGAGGGTCGGAACAAAAACGACAGCGGGAAAACTGGCTCATCAGACGGTTTCTGACCTGGTTTTGTTGTAAAAAGAAATGTATTCACTGCTGATGGACGTTCTGATCAAACCCTGCTGAGAGAGTGCTCACGGTGTGAGCTAACGAGTCGATTCAGTCACGACTGAGTTAGCCTCGACACCTCCCCAGTGTTTGTGTCACCGTAAAAAACACCAACTGCAGTTAAATTAACAGCAACTATTCAGCCTTTAAGTTTCAAAGAAACCCTGATAATGTGATCACTTTATTTTCAATTTATAATCTCTGACCTTTTAGTTAAATTAATGAAACGTGAAGCTGACGTGATGTGGAAGGTAATGAAGCCGTACGGGAGTTTTTCTACCAACATTTCAGTCTGGGGTTTTAAAAGTTTTCTGACTCAGCTTTGGGAACCAAACCAACCTGGGTGTGCGTGTTTCACTTCTTTTGGCAGAACGAGTGTTCAGGTCAACCATTCAGAGCCGTGGGTCTAAAATGGGTCCGTTCTGATGAGTTTAAACTGAAAAGACGTGTTCCTTCAAAAGAACCAAGACCCCATCTACACAACTCCACATATTATTTTTTAAACTAAAAGTTTGTGCTGAGTTTGCACCTCTTGACCAAACATACATGGAGTTTTATTAGCAAAGTTTTATTTTGCACTTGCTCACGATCATTCTGTCCCAGCAGTTTTTGAGATGCACCATAATTTGGGGTAAAAAATAATATTGTTAGTGTGGACATTTAATTTATTTGTCAGAATGTCTAGAAGATAATAAAACGTATAAAACAATAAAAATGACCTGAAGTAGTGTAGCTACGGCTTAAATAGTTTACCTACCTACAGCTGATTCCATTAAAGACTCAACATGTTGAAATTAGTTTTTGGTGTTTAAAACAAAAATCAGATTTTAAATTTGCTGCTAATGTTTTTTTTTTTTTTAAAGCTGTTAATAGTTAAACTTCTTCATCTGAGTTATGTAGAGGGATATAACATTTTGATGAGCGTATCTAATATTAAAGTTTAAATTTGGGGTTTTCTTGTAATTCCATGTCCAATAAAATAGAAAAAAAGAAAAGAAAAAAATTTGGACATCTACTAAAATGGGTGGAGCCTGATAAGGCCACTGGATCTGACCAATCAGAGCAGACTGGGCTTTGCTGGAGCTCATAGCTTCTTTAACATCTGGATTCATAAAAAATCTGTACAAATGCAGAGACTCACTCATGATAATTGAAAATTTCAACTTAAAACCATAAATCCTAATTGTAGTTTGCAGCTTTTTTGTCTGTATAGATTCAGTCTTTGCGTTCACAACAAAAACCAGCTGCGAGTTAAAGACCCTCCATTTATTTTTCTGCTGCTCGTTCTGGGGCCCGGATCTGAAGTTAAAGAGGATTCTTTCATTAATCAGCAGCGTGTTGATCTCTGAACGCTGCTGTAATTGTCTCTGTGAGGACTCGGTTCATTCAGACTCATTAACTCGTCACAGGATTCAAACCGCCTCAGTTTGACTTTAAAGATCAGCTTTGTTTTTGTCATCTTCAAAACCCCCAGCTGTTACAAAATAATTAAAGCTTCAGAAACATCCTCTGGGTACAGAAAGTTGATTGTAGTTTGAACGTTTAGCTCTACACCTTTGGGAGCTCCACATGTGGGAAACAATAATTGTCCTCTGAAGAGTGGCGATGTCGCGTTCGGTTTTTAATGAGCCGAGCTGGAAAACGTTTGAGCGAGATTTCAAAAAGAAGGACGAAAAAAAAAACTAAGATTTGCTCAAACATAAAAGAGTTGATGAAATCAAACAACAGTTTAATCTGTTATACAGATTTGACTAACTTGTCCTGAAAACTGATCATTTGAACATGAAAGTTGCCTTTTCTGGTCTCGCGCATGTCAGTTTATAAATTTAAACAGAATTACCTGTAAGAGCATTAAAGAACAAATCAGATTTAGAAGAAGTGAGACTTTCAAACGAAGCAAAAAGCCCAAGGTGTTCCTGCTGTTATCATATCCGTTAAATTAACCCCTTGTTTTCTGAGTATTTTCCACTTGAGATCTACAAAACACAAGGTGTCATTTTAAAACTTATTAACTGAAAATGCAAAATTTTTAAAGCTTCACAAGCAACTTTTCTAGAAGCCCGGCCAGATGTAGTGCTTCAAAAGGGAACACCAAAAGTTTGGATGTCTTTATACTCGGACACCCACTAGCTTCAATCTGCCTGCCCATACAGGAACCTCCTAAAACCCAACGAGAAGTGAATTCATGCATCTTGGGTCCAGCTCTAATTTATTTTACATAAACAGATATGATTGTTTCAAAATGGCCGCCTCAGTTGTTTATTTGTCTCTTCCTGCTGGAAGTAGAAACAAAGTCCGAAAGTACCGTCTTTAACCCTGGAGTTTGTTGGTGGTTGGTATTAGACCCCATAAATACGGGTCTATAACATCTAGAGGTGCATCTCAAAAAATTTAAATATGATGAATAAGTCTTGATTTTTTTTTTTTTTTTTTTCTGAGTCACCAAATTTAGTTGTTTCATTATCGGTAAGCCATAACCATTAAAATTACAAGAAACAAAGGCTTGAAGTATTTAAATCTGTGTATAGTGAGTCTATATAATAAAGTTCACTTTCTGAAATGACTGACAAAAACCTGAACTTTTTCATGATGATCTAATTTTTTGCGATGCACCTGTATACATTACAGCAGTTAGCCACATGCTAGTTAGCATGCAGTGTTAACTGTTTCTGCTTCTAAAGCCCATTCAGTGTTTGTCAGAGAATCCCACAACTTGTTTCATTGAACGGCAGCTTTTGTTTGTTCCTTGTGTGATTCCTGTTAAAAATATGAAATTTTCCACTTAAATCCGCAACAGCTTTTTAATACACCGTACAGTACTGGTTTTCTGTTGGATGTACCTGCCACTTGTTCACTGAGGAATATTTGATGACTCATTCAGCCCAGTTTGGTCTTCAATGGAAAAGACTGTAAGAAAGAGTTTATGAATTACCCGTAAGCAGTTGCAGAAGTCTAGATAATCAAAATTGGGCAGATTCTCAATCCAACAGGACTTCAGAACGTTCAGTTGAATCTGAGTAATGTTGGTGATAATGTATCGGTGCCTGATGTTTCTTCTGAAGCAGCTCCATAGCTAGTTGCTCCGCACCTTCAGTCCATTTACGTCAGTTTCTCATTGAACTGTAACTGCTGCCAACTAGTTTTCCAACTGATTTTATGAAGACTCCCCAAAAGGTTTTAAATTTGGAAGTTTCTCAACCTACTCAGTTATTGAACATGTTAAAAGAAATTGTGACGAAGTTTCATTAGTTTTCCAACAGTCGGAGCTCATCGAGACTCAACCCGTAGACTCCCATTCTGAGTTACCCTTGGAAAACGGTAGAACGGCAGTTTTGGTTTGTTCCTCGAATGAATCGTTGCTGAGCACAAGAAAAACATTTTTCTGATATTGAATTATTTTTTTTCTTTACTTTTTAACAGGAGTCACTTTAAATGAACAAATTTAAAAAAACATTTACCCCCAGTGAAGCAAGTAAACGTAAATTACAATGATTTTCTGACTTATTCTATGTAAAAAAGACATTACAAGAACATAATGTAAAGTTTGTTGGACGTGCCCTGAAATCTCATCATTGGTTTGAACTGATAGCCATAAAACTGTCCTACAAGCAAGAAAACATCAGGACGCCTGTAGTTCTTGGTATGAATGATAAACCAAAGGCATGAATTAAAAGTGAATGGTCCTTTGACATTTTGTTCTTTTAAAGGAATGACCACATTCGAAGTACAGAAGTATGTTTTCATAAAGCACAAAACAGGAAGGTTGTTGGGTGAAGTACAACAGCTTCAGCTGTTAATCGCAAGAAAAACACATTTTCTGTCCCAACACGGACAAATGAATGAGCTGCCTCAAAGAAATGGACAGACAGACAGCAGAGTCCTCTTGAGTTGGAAAAAAATGGGTTTATATGCAGACGATGTGACCTTTTAAATCAAGTTTGTCTTTTGTTGACTAATGGATTATCAGATGACTTTTCCTACACGGAGATCAAGATGGACGGCACGATGGACTTTACAGTGCGACGCTGTAACTTTAGGAATGTATGGACAAAGTTTATACCTGATGGACCTTGAGAGGTTGTGGGGTTTTGTTGCGTTGTAAGAACTCTATTCTTCACGAGACGTCTATTTTTTGGGATTATAATCACTTTTTTTTTTTTTTGTTAAGTCAACAAACACCAGAGTTATAGATTTTAAAGCCCAACAGCCAAGTGGACTGAACAGTCCACCGTTGGGACATATCCGGTTGTTTATCAAAGTCCTCTTTGGATTCTGTGGACTCGTAATGAAAAGTGTTGCAGCTGATCGATCTAAGGAACTGGCTTGGATTGAACAGTCTTTGCTCTGACTGCGACAGTTTTTCCGTTGCACTGGATTTAAAAAGACGCCACCATCGGACTGAACCGTGGAACGTTCTAGAAAGAGGACTTCAGTGTGGAACTTCTGTTCAGTTGGAGATACTGTTTCTGTTCGATCCAGTTTTAATGTTAATAATTGAGCCATATATGAATCAATGGGCCTGCCTGCTTCTGTACATTCAGTGTCCAGTAAAGTGCAAATGTGTGATGAAGATGATGATGACTGTAAGACCAGTGAGGACACTGACGGTATCTGTGCCAGTCTTAATTCAAACCCTGATAATTAGAATCGATTCCAGTTTGGTCAGGGAAAAATTGGTCCATTTGTGAAAAGCTAATTGGCATCATTAATGTGCTGATTAGTCAGTTTATTATGAACTGTTAATGTCCAGTCAGGGAAATTTGGTTTACAAACATAAAGCACACTACGTGTACAGTAACACTGTAAATTAGACAGACGCGCTGTTTAAAAACGATGTGGAGTTTGACGTTTTTGTGGGTAAACATGGTGTTTTTGACAATGCTGACGATGATTATGGCCTTGGATCATAATGAAAAGGAAACAGGAAGTTGCAGGCAACACTTTAGTCCTACTTCCTGTTTACAGTGCTTTGGTCTCTTGTGTTGGGTGGCATTAAAATAATAATGAACCTTCACTGAGATTTGTTTTGTTTCTGTTTAAATAACTAATGAAACAACGTGAGGGCCTTCAAGTCATTTTGCCTACTATAAGTATTCAGTGATTTTACAGAACTTTTAAAGTGGGATTCTGTGGAAAGGTTATGAATAAAAAAACATGTTGGTAAACTTACAGCTTGTAAAAAACAATGATTCCTCTTGAAAATTATTTAGTTAAAAGTTTACAGACATCCATGTTAGAGATGAGCCATTTCCAAA